AAAAAGCCCAGAAGAAAAAAGTGTCTGTGTTAGTCAAAGATAATCATGCTAACTAAGCATGCCCCACTTTTTCTTGTGACTAAAGGCCTCACAAACCCAGGGAGGAAGGGCTTACTCGGGGTCAGTTTGGAAGGATACAAAGTATCACGTCAGGGGAGACGGTGATGAGCATGGAGCAGGAGGTCACATGCATCAGGAAGAAGAAAATTAAGTACCTTTGTCCATTTTTACTCTGTCTGGGTTTCCAAACCATGGGGTACCGCCACCCACACTCAGGGTGAGTCTTCCGTCACCAGTTAAATTGCTCTAGAAACACCTCTGTAGCCGCGTCTCCTAGTGATTCCAAATCCACTCAAGTTGACACTGAAGATTTACTTTCAGAGCTGTGGTCATTGTGGTATAGTGGGCTGCATGCGTCCCTCAAAGAGAGATGTTGTGGTCCATCTTAGTTTATCTGCGCTGCTCGGAAATAGGGTGATTTGGAAACAGTACGAAGTCACTGTTCGTGTTATGGAGGTCAGGACGTCCAGGATCAAGGCTGTGGCTGGTTCAGAGACAGTAAGTAAAGGGTCTGGTGTTTGTTTCCAGGATGATGAGACTCCCTTTCTGCTGCGTTTTTCACACAGTTTGGGAGAGGCCACTTCCTTTAAGGTTTACTTTATTGAGTAAGACATACTGTTGCAACGTTTAAAACAAGATTTATTTGATAATTGCAAGTGCACACCTGTATGAGTTCATGAACACCACACATGTAGAAGAAAGCGGAAGAGAGCTCTGTACCATGCGGGACGGAGTCATAGGCGGTTGAAAGCTGCCATGTGGGTGAACCCAGGTCTGCTGTAGGAGTGAGTGCCTGTAGCCACAGAGCCATTTCTCTAGCGACCTAACCTTTTTTTTTTTTTTAAAGTATGCAGCCACCTTTAATCCTATGTTTAATGAGGATAGAAACTCAGTTTATACCTTGTACCGAGACTAATGTCTGAAATAAAGGATAGTTTGTGTTCTGGTGGAGAAATAACAAAAAACAAACCAATCTCCTCTTAGATAAACAACAACAAACAAACAAACAAATAACAACCCACCACGCACACACACAATTCCCCCAAGTTGAAGGTTCCATCTAACTTTTCACTATTTAGAAGTCTGCAACTTGGTGTTAGAAGGGACTAGTTAAACTGTCAAGTAAATATATTTTACATGCATCTGGTCGGTGCTTGAGTGTTTTAGTTACAGGCAGAGATAGAAATGTCCTTGTATCAATCAAGAAAAAGGAAAAAAAAAAAAAAAAGGCTTAGTTTACTTTGCCCTTGTCCCCACCTGGCATGAGGCTTCTCTCTCTCCCTCCCTCTCTCTCTTTCCCTCTCTCCCTCTCCACCTCTCTCTGTCCCTCCCTCCCTCTCCTTCTTTCTCTCTGAGTCTGCCTTTCTCTGTGATCACTGAGGAGCAGATTCGGAAGCCTGTCCTGTTCTTTCCTCTGCAGAGCTGGACAGAGCTGTAAGGAGCCACTGGGAATAGAGATGGCCATGGCTGCTGAGGTCTCCGAAAGGTCACACAGGAAGCTGGTTGGCAGAACTCACAAATATCACCAGGAAGGGGGAAAGTTATTTTAAGTAAAATGCATCACCATGCTAACAATAATGTTAAAACCTTACAGCCTTGACGTTTGGTTCTTTGAAACAGTAAATTATTGCATAGTTTGACACAAACTTCTTTTTGGATCATTGTGAAAACTTTTGGCCCGTATATTACTCTCTCTCTCTAATATATACAGACACAAGAGTTTAGAGTCCATAAGCATGATGCCATATGTCCATAGTTTGTTAACTTTATATGGGACGGAGACGTGTTTACGCACGAACGATTTGGGTGTTCATCACCATTGAGCTTGGAATTACTGGTAAATAAAGGTGTGAGCATTATGTACCTTAGCCTAAACTTAGCCTTACTAGAATTTTTTCTTTTTAGATTATTTTTAAACTGTGTGTATCTGTGTTTGGGTATATGTACATGTGAGTGCAGGCAGTGCCTTTCAGACTCGAGTGGATTATTTGGAGCTAGGGTTCCAGGTATTTGTGAGCAGAGTCCAATATGGGTGAAGGGAGCAGAACTCAGGTTTTCATAAGAGCAGTGCACACTCTTCACCCCTGAGCCATCATCTCCTCAGCACCGAATTGTAAGGTTTAAAATAATAATAATAATAATAATAATAATAATAATAATGCAACAGACACTATGTGAATTCAATCTTGAAGACAGAGAGACACCATTTCTCATAGATTTTGATGTCAGTATTTTTAAGAACATGACTAAAGACAATGCCATCAGTCATGTGCTGAACAGTAATTTTAATCTGTAAGTGAAAATCTCAACGATAGTAGGAGTTACTGTTAGTATTTAGACACCTGTACTGGCCTGCCCTTGGGGTTCTGACAGGATCCATCTTCATCGGTAGCCACTGAGTGCACCATCTGTGCACATTCACTATGTTCCCTTTTGAAAGGGCCCTGCCCACCTCCCATCCCCCTCCCTCCCTCCCTCCCTCCCTCCCACCCTTACCCCTCCCTTTCTTTCTCTCTCCCTCCCCCTCCACCTTCCTGGTTCTTATCTCTCTTTCCCCCTCTCTGCTTCTCTGCCTGCTTGTTTCTCCTCCCTCTCCCTCTCTCTCTCTTTGTCTCTCTGTCTCTCTGTCTCTCTCTCTCTCACACACACACACACACACACTCTCTCTCTCTCTCTTCTTCTGTTCTGTCCCCAGAGGCTGGTTTCCCCTCTCCTCTCCCCCCTTTTCCATTCACTTTTCCCCCAATTAAGAAACCCCTCCGCCAAGCTCTGTCTTATGGCCTCTTTCTCTTGTGTGCCAAGTTTTTAAATTAACAACAGTCAAAATGTAGCAGCAACACCCTACCCAATGAATGTCACTTATCTCTTCTGAGGGCTTTTCAGGATGGAGGAGCCCAGTGAATGCAAGAACTGATTCACAAGAAGATTTTGTCAGCCAGGCATTTGTGGCGCATGCCTTTAATCCCAGCACTCAGGAGTCAGAGGCAGGTGAGTTGAGTCCAGCCTGGACTATGGAGCTAGTTCCAGGACAGGCTCCAAAGCTACAGAGAAACCCTGTCTTGAAAAAAGAAAAGAAAAAAGAAAAATTTGTGCAATTTTTAATTTCCTAGGATCTTCACAAAAGAACAGAATAAAAATGACCGCACCATGATATTTTTTATACATTTTTAGACAAAGAACATTAACTTTGTCATGAAATGGCAGGAGCAGTCTGAAAGAACATTTAATTCTAGGGGTGTTAATAGGAGAGACATGGTGTTGGATGGAGGGACTCTAGTAAGACAAGTGTTGTTTCGGAGTTTGCCTTTTCGGGTTCACAGAACTCTCAGTTACAAGTCTCCAGAGAGGAAGGGTATCTCAAGCATGGCTCTGTAAAGGAAGTTCTTCTCAAAAGAATCTGGTCCTGCTGCAGGAAGGTAGAGCAATAACTCCTTCTGAAGGGATTTCAGAGGGAGATTAGCAAGGGGATGACTTGGCATGTTCTGAGGTGTCTTGTCTTTAATACCCTCCATACTGTTATTTACCAAGTTCTTACCATGTGTCAGCACTGAGCTCTGGACACTTGGTGGCTGGGTAGAACACAGGACCAAGGATGGTACCTTCTTTGAAGGAACACGCACCCTAGAAGTGAAAACCCCTCTGGAAGTCTGAGGGGAGGATGCTGTGGGCTCTCTCCTGGAACTCTGGAGGCACCGGAGATGCTACAGAGAGGGGTCAATCAGAGAAACGGCCAGTCTGCACATGCAGGTAAAAAGTCTCCACACACAGAGAACTGGGTACCAAATAATCTAGATTTCTGTGCACACTGCTTGGTATGATGAGCCGAATATAAATTGGTTTGGCTCCTTCTAGAATATACAGTACCCAGCAGGAAATGAAGAAAACGCAGTCATGGCTCTCTCTAAGGCTGTTGTGTTTGTCAAGTGTTTTGTGATTGGGAGGCACAAGTGTGCCCATTTGTTCATTTCCAGGCAGTCAGAGAGGAGGCTTCATTTTCAGTCCCCCCCCCCAATATGCATTCTAAGGAGGGCTCAGGCTCAGCAGCATGTAGAGGGGAATGAAATAGATAATTAGAATTACAGAGGGGTGGGGGATGCTCTGCTGACTTTTCCTCACACAGTGGAAATGAGTCACTTAAAGATTATGTAGTTTTTATTACGATAGAATCAGTTCGTTTCCTTTGAATGCTTGCGTTTGCTTTGTCGTCGTTCTCTCCCTTCATTAAGCTACTAGCTGAAGAGCAGTTCACTTGGCTCGCGGCTGCACCCTTAGCGTCTCCGAAGTCCTAATGTGAACTCTGAATACTTGTTGAACTGCTTGTTGTTGAATACAGAAAGGAATGTCAACTCAGAAAGCCAGCCCTAGCAGGCCATGCAATAGACACAATGCAGTCTATTGTAACACAGCAGCTCTTCCGTTTCAGAGGCATTTCTGTGAATTGCTAACTCGCTTAGCTCTGAAATGTTACCTCTCTCCCCCCCTCCCCAATTTGGTAAGTTCTTAAAAACAAACAAAAAACCCTCCAGTGCAGGAACCGTGCAGTTCGAGTTTTTGGAAACGCGCTCTCTAGCCTTGGGGCTAGAGGACGGTGTCCTCTGCCGCGCGGTTGGTGTGTCACTCCGATGATCTGAGTCTGCAGAAGGCCGGTGCTTCCTTGTCACAGCTGTGGGCGTCTGGGTGACATCATCCTGACTCGGAAAGGCAGGATCCAGCGCTGCGTCGACCTTGGGCTCAAGCTAACGAAGCATCCCTGCTCGCCCAGATCGGCCTGTCTCTCCCAGTGTCTCCGGCGCCCTTGGCCTCCGGACCTCCTGCGGCCACCCGGGGCCTCCCGGCGACACCTGACTGTCGCTCCGCGGGCCAGTGCGCTCCTCCCTCCCTCCTCGCCCCGCCCCGCCCCGCCCCGCCCCGGCGGACTCAGCCGCCCGCCTAGGCGTGTCCCTCGCTGCCCGCCGTAGCCCGGCGCTCGGCCGGCCGCCGTTCCCAAGATGGCCGCGGCGCGCACGGCTCCCGCGGCGGGCTAGAGGCGGAGGCGGAGCCGAGTCACTCCCGCACCCCGGCGGCTCGGGCTCTCCCGCACACGGGGCTGCAGCTGACGGCCCGCCGCGGCCATGCGGGGCTCGGTGCACGGATGAGAGACGCCGCCCCGGGGCCCCCGCCCGCCCTCGCCGTCACCCCTGCAGCCGCCATGGAGGAGCCGCGGCCGCCGCCGCCCGAGCCCGAGCCCGAGCCCGAGCCCGAGCGCTGCCCGGCGGCGAGGTGAGTGCACGGCTGCAGCGGCCGCTCCGAGGGAGCCCCGGCTGCGCGCCCAGGGGGCGTGGGGTCGTCCGCTGCGCGCCGGGCATCCAGACCGCCGGCGGCGGGAGGGGGCGCCGTGCAGCCCGGGCGACCCCGGCCCTTGCAGCCCGCGCGACCCCGGCCCTTGCAGCCCGGGCGACCCCGGCCCTTGCAGCCCGCTCGACCCCGGCCCTTGCAGCCCGCTCGACCCCGGCCCTTGCAGCCCGGGCGACCCCGGCCCTTGCAGCCCGGGCGACCCCGGCCCTTGCAGCCCGGGCGACCCCGGCCCTTGCAGCCCGCTCGACCCCGGCCCTTGCAGCCCGCTCGACCCCGGCCCTTGCAGCCCGGGCGACCCCGGCCCTTGCAGCCCGCTCGACCCCGGCCCTTGCAGCCCGGGCGACCCCGGCCCTTGCAGCCCGCTCGACCCCGGCCCTTGCAGCCCGCTCCCCGCCGCCGCCGCGCGGGCTGGGCGCCGCGATCTGACTCAAGCAAGGTGGTCCCTCCGTTTCCCTCTTCCAGGAAGGGAGAGGCGGCGGCGTGGCCCCTCCGCTCCGCTCCTTCGCACCCCGCCTCCCCCAGCCTGCTGTCCCTGCACTTAGAACGCACACGGGTGCCTTGCTAAGGTCTCCCCCCCATCCCCCTCCCCCTCCCCCCGGACCTTTAGCGACAGCCTGATGCAGAGTACCGTGCACGTAGCTCCAGGATGGAACTTTGGCGCCCGAGTTATCTGTTGCATTCTCTCTCACGGAAGCTCTGTGCACTACTTAGAGAGAAGTCTTGAGTTTTTAATTGGGAGGCAAATTCACCGTGCCTTGTTTTTGTGTTTAAATGCAGCCCCCCTCCACTGCCCCTCCTTTGCATCCCAGGATAAGCTTTGGCTGCCCCCTGTCCCCTGTACTTGAGAACACTCCCACAGCTCCTCCCGGTTACGGTCTTGCCCTATAATCCCAGGAAGAAGGCAGTTAAATAGCTTTTCTTTTTCCTGATTGAAGAAATAGCAAATTTATAGCTCAGTGAGACCTGGACACAGGGGCCATTCACATCCTTACTTGTCACCACCGGGTTGCCTGAGAGGAACTTATTTTTTTCTAAGCCGTGAAATCCACTGCTTTATGTTCCTTAATTCCCAGATAGTTCTGTGGCATCTTGAAGGACAGTTTCTATAAAGACTCAATTCAGAGTGCCATGAGACTCCCTCCAGGATTTTTTAGACTTTTTTTTTTTTTTTTTTTTTTTTTTTTTAGAAAGTACGCGATTTTCTTAATGTGTCGAGTTGCTGAGCTATTTTGACTCTTGCACACGTTATTTTTAGAAATAATAAATTGAGTTCTTAATGCTTCAAGTGTTTACCACTTGCCCATCACCTCTTTTTAACTCATTTCATCTTTACAACAGTCTTAGGAGTTAATTCTGCTAGTCATCTCCTTTACCTACGAGGAAACTGAGGCAAAAGGTAAATAGCCTATATAAAGATTAACAGCTGGTAATAAACACAGGTCTGGTTGCATAGTTGGTGCCTTAATTGTCATGAGGAGGAGGGATGATTTCATATCCACAGGCCCGACCTTATAATTCTGTGTAACGGTACACTGGGGACAACATGGACTTGAACGTTGTTAGGAAGACGTGGGAAGGGCAGAGGGATACACATCTGCTGTAAAAAACGATGGGCTTCTATTGATACGGCAGCTTTGCTTTCTGTCCGGGATTCTGTCTCTTTGTTATAATAAAAATAGGTCAGGATGATGGGCTCCATCCAACTTTAAGTGAACAGCAGAGTACGGAACAAGACGATCTTTGAAGTATTTTTTTCTTAGCAACACTGCAGTTAATTTTACAATAGTGAATCTGTAAAGCAGATCCCTTGCTAAAGCTGTTGCTTTGCCTTTTTGCTGCAGTCATCCGCTGCCTCATCTTCGCAGGCAGGGGTGACCTCTGGCACGATTACTGTAACTCTGTGGTAAGCGATGGAGCTAGCAGGGGAGCTCCGGTTGTTTATAATGTGGCTCACATTCTTAACTATTTACGAGAGGCTCACTGTGTGCATTGCATTGAGAGTATGTATGCTCAGCTCCTCCTTCTCAACACAGTGGAGACAGACCACTCACGTGTTCTTGGTGTTACCAGGTTAGCTGGCTCTCTGACAGACCAGAACGAAGCTTCTGGCATGGTTGTTCATCTGCTGTACGTGTGTGTCATTGATCAGGAAGGCTGCATTAGCGCACAGGTCTTTTGTAGGAGTCAGGCCTGTACACGTTGGCCTCCAAAGCTGTATGGCAAACACACCATGGGCAGGTGCCAGCGCCCGGGACGTCTGCTGTGGGTGCGCTTCGCTCCTGACACGTGAGTTATGCAATGATGGAGGGAACACGGAACAGGTTGCCAGCTGACAGTGCTCTGTCATTAGTGTTAATTATCCACGGGGATACTTCTGGTCCTTATTTTTGGTAAAGAATTCTCGAAGTTGATTCCAGCTGTTTAGAGATTAAGCTTTTGAATAAACATTCCTGTTTGTTTTTCAAGTACCTGGGTCAGTTTTAAGAGAAGATCCGGAAACTGAGTAGGAGAACTATTAGAATTAATTTGAAGCACCTTAACTTTTGTGATTTTTTTTTATTTGTGCATTTACAAAACAATAAATTGATATTAAGTCTGATACAATGTTCCTGGCTATTTCAACCTCTGCTTTAAAATAGGTTTGTTAAATATGGCCTCATGTCCTCATTCACAGGCTAAGTTCATGCCAATAAGCCTCACTATACCTCTTTCCAGCCAGCAGCTTTCTTATTTACTTTGTGTGGTGTGGCTTTCTCCTAAGTTCATTTGTGAAAATAGGGTTCGCTTCTTGCAAAGCATTTGAGTACCCTCATTGCTAGGCAGTCTTATCTAGCTGTCTGTGCTCTGGATCCCCACCTTCAACCCCTTTGTTACTGTTTCAACTCAGGAGGTCACCTGCTCCTAATCTCAAGAAGCTTCAGGCTGTTAATGAGCCTTAGCCAGCGAGGAGCAGCCACCCCGGCAGCAGTGACCTAGGGCTCCAGCGAAGGCAGAAGTTGTTCTGGTGTGGCTATGACTTGGTCATCCCTTCTTCGTCACTTCTTGAGGTCGCTTTATTTCCTTCTTGTGTGTCCTCTTGGTGCCTTGAAAGTCTTGTTCTGAACTCTGCTGACAGCTGGGGATACACAAGTCTTGCCGACTTAATGGGTAGATTGCCTTCGCCTCCTGCTAGTTTTCCCTCATTCTTCACAGGTCATCTGCTCGCAGCATTCTCCCGTCTCCATCTTCCCATTAGACCAGGTGGCATGGATTCTGCTTGAGGACTGTGTGATGCCGTTTACAAGTCGGCAGCCTATCGGGCACAGTTTTATCAAAGGGAAAATGGAAGCCATGTCAGGACAGGAGATTGGATGACCGTTCTAGCTCTTCCCAGGCTGGTGCCACATTGGCAACCAGCAGGTCCACGTGCTGGGCAGTGTCTCAGTGTAACTCTGGCCTGTAGGAAATCTGTGTGTGTGTGTGTGTGTGTGTGTGTGTGTGTTTATGGGGTCCTTGATTTCAAAGGACTCCATAATTAACACGAACAAGCTTGCCCATCTTAAGCACAGCCATTGCTTACAGTCTGAGAGAGACCAGGGCCTTTTAGGTTTCTCTCTCTCTTGACGACATGGGCTACTTTCTTCACCCCTTCTCACAGATTTCCCTCGATTGAGCTGCACGGTTTGTTTTGAACCATAGTCTTACTTTAATTAGATTATGGCAGCCCTTGTTTTTTTTTTTTTTTTTTTTTTTCTGATTTAATTTGGGCTATAGAATGTCCTTACACATGCTTGTTAGGGTAGGTATTTTTTCTCTCTCTGTAATCCCCCCCCCCCCGCCCCCGCCACAGAGTCCTTTGGAATGGTTTCTGGCACGGTGTGGTGGAGATGTCCGTGCTTGCTGCCTTCCTAGCTGCTTTTTGAGTATTCTCTTCATAAAGGATCGTGATACTAGGTGGTTTTTCTGGGTTTAAATCCACGTTTTAAAAGGTAATGAGAATTCTGTAGCTATTGAAAATCATGTTAAAGTAGCCTGTAGTGACATGGGAAAGGCTCACAGGAGCAACTCTTTTTGGTGGGTCTCGACTGCCTATTTCTAGAAAGGTCCCCCAAGTGCCCTGCGTCTGCATCCGCTGCGCCCTCCCTTGAGCCCACCGGGGGAAGCGGATTACCAGTAGGATTTGTGAAGGACATTCTGAGTGAGGATGAGCCCCCAGCCGCCCCCCATCACATCGGAAAGCAACTCTCTCCCCCTGCCGCTGCTGCGGCCGGCCTCGTGGACCCGTCAGCCCTGCCCCCTTCTTGCAGAGCTGGGCCTGCGGGAATGGACTGCGTACCAAACTGAGCTGGAGAGAGGACGTTCCCATTTGATAATTGACATACTTCATTCGTGTAAAGTTGAGTTGAGAGCAAACTCCCAGATGCTGTGGCCTACCTCAGAAAGGTTTGTTTTCAGATGGTGATGGGAACTCCCAGGGAAAGGTGGAGACTGGAAGAGTCTTGGGCATGTTATTTCCCTGAATGCCCAGTGGATTCTTCCTTGCTCTTGCTTTGACCTAATAAGTTCTCTCCTTCCTCCCTCTGTATGGTGTTTGTGTTCACCTGTGTGTGCATGTGTGCATATATGCGCCTGTGTGCACATGTGGACGCTAGAGGTCAGTGTTGAGAGTCGCCCGAAGTTCTCCATTTCAGCTAGATTGGCTGGCTCATGAGCTCCTTGTGCCTCCCCACTCCCCCAGCCCACCCCACCTCCACCACCCCAGCACTGGGGTTACAGGTGTCCATCATGCCTGACCTTTATGTGGGTGCTAGGAATCTGAACTCCTTACGCTTGCAGAGCAAACACTTTATTCACGGAACCCTCCTTTCAGCCCCTAAATTCTCTATTCTTAAAACTATGCATTTGATTAGGTGTCTTAAAATCCTAATACATGGTCTGATCTCATT